ACAAACACACCCACACACACATTCACACACACAAACACACACACGCTGCATATACTGTACTTTTAAACATGACGGCGGCGTTCTTGAATACTCTTATAAGCGCACGCACACACATACACACACACACACACACACACACACAAACAAACACACACACACACACACACACACACACACACACATAATATAATGTTATACAAATGTATTAAAAGCAGGTCATAGTTGTGTGTATTGCAAAATGATTGTAAACTCACGGTGACTACGATTTCACGAATGCCAGGGATGTGGTTAGTACAGAGATGTCTTTATCCATGCCAGATTTCTACAACTACAACACGCGGCATTGTTTGTAAAGCCCAGGTCTCGATTTCATGTCTCAAGACACAGGTGTATGACAACTAAAAACGTCGGTTGCAGCTAGCACAAGAAAAATACCGAAAGTAAAGGATACTTACGTGATAAGATGTAGGAGAAGATGCCCAATCCCCAATGTGTCCATTTGAACATGAGGCGATTTGAGGAAGAGGGTTCTGGTCGGAAGGTCGCCATAGAAGCCTGTCGATATGTGAAATATACTAACTGGTTTGTTCTAGTCAAAGATTGAAAATACAACAATAGGTACGGAGAAGCATGAAGAATAAGTACGATCTGCAAGGCAAAAGACAAGAATATATACAGTAAGGAAGATCAGATGAGGTATGGTTAAATGCTGCTAAGGTTAAAGAAATATACCTCTGAAGGTGACTTTTATATTCAACTTGACGCAATCAATAACGTGACAGCTGCTTGAAAACTCCACAAATTAGACAAGTTTTAAAAATCCGGAGTGGGATTCGAACCAGGATAACCTCCACTATAGTATACCATGAAACAGTTTTGGGGGTGCTCTAGAGAAAAGAAAAGAAGATAAAACAAACAAAGATGTATAGACATATTATTCGAATTTGATAAAGTAAGATTAAATTAACCAAGATGAGTCAAGTTATTATAATGAAGTAAGATAAAACTATCTTGGATGAGTTGAAACAATCACATAAAATTAATAACGTATACAACAACAATACAAATTTTAGTCAAATTCGAGCATGGTCTAATACAGTAGCTTCACTAAACAAAATTCAAGTCCCACATGATCTCTCTCCCTCTCTCTCACTCTCTCTCTCTCTCTCTCTCTCTCTCTCTCTCTCTCTTTCTCGCCCTCTCTCTCGCCCTCTCTCTCTCTCTCTCTCTCTCTCTCTCTCTCTCTCTCTCTCTCTCTCTCATCTCTCTATATCTCTCTATCTCTCCCTTTCTCTCACTTCATAACTTATATACACGCAATACTCATACACGAGAGGGTATGTGCACACCCAAATATAGACACAGAGAGAGAGAAATGCACACGAAGAGAGAGAAAGAGCGAGACAAAGAGGAAGAGAAAGAGAGACCGATCCAGAGAGAATAAAGAGAGAGAGAGAGAGAGAGAGAGAGAGAGAGAGAGAGAGAGAGAGAGAGAGAGAGAGAGAGAGAGAGAGAGAGAGAGAGAAAGACCTCATGGCACCCTTCCACCGTTAAAATTTACTCACATTCACTAAGGTAAGCACCAGCAGCAGGAGGCCAAGGGGTGAGTGGAGCATCCTGTAGTAGTAGCCATCGCCCTGAGGCTGGAAAGGAAGTACTACGGTACTGAAGTGTGTTAACGTATCAACTTCTCAACGGCCCTCCAGGTTTCGGAGGTTCAGCTCAGGGCTAACAACCCAGACTGGTAAAAATCATAGGTTACCGAAACAGCAACAAAGAGAGTTAACCAAGATGGCCAAAAACAGACAGAGCTGGAGATCCTTTGTCACTGCCCTAAACGCCAGATGGCGTGACGGGTAGTAAGTAAGTAAGTAAGTAAGTAAGTAAGTTCCCACCACGAGGCATAAATTATTGCAGTCGAACCTCTCTAACATGACGACATACTGTTGATGAGAAAAGTGGTTATCTTGGACGGTGTTATTATAGTTTTAAAAACGCAGGGAGTGGATGAGAAGTGGTCGTTTGTACAGGTAATTGTCTTAGGCAGCTGGTCGCTCGAGCTGTTCGATTGAATTTCAATTTACAGGGGTCTTTGGGGTCTCAAGGGTTAACTTTTATCTGAGTCCGTCCGGTGTCTTTTTTTTTGGGGGGGGGGGGCGAATTTGCATGAGACAAAATAATAATTGGAAAAAAAGGCATAATTGGTCGCTTTTAAGGGCAAGCGGGGCTAACTCAGTTTCGGGGGTGTCCAGAAATCTTGACCTACACCAAAAGTGGGCATTGCCCTACCTATAGGAGAAGTTTGGTTTAATTGGTATGGTGTGTACATTAATTTGTTTGGTTATAGAGAAAACTCTCCTTGTTTTTTAAAGAAACTGAACGAGGGGAAAAAATTACTTTCGATTTTCTCAAAACAGCATTTTTCGGGATATCCCCCTTTTGCTTAAAAGCGACCAATTAGAGGGATAAGATATTTCGATCCATTCACAGTTAGGTTGTGGGCTGCAAGTGACCTACAACCAGCTTAAGACCTGCGCCCCTTTTTTACCGCTCACCCACTCGGTGTGAAAATAGAGCTACACACCAGGGAAGATTCAAATAACTCATTTTTTTCTTTCAATCATTCTTTGTCCAAAGGAGTATCTAAAAGGACTTCATGGCCACCGATCGCAGTTTGAATCCCTAGAAACGTGTTTTATCTCCTTATTTATTTTTTTTATTTTTTTTATTTTTTTTTTTGGGGGGGGTTGTTGTTTTGTTTGTTTGTTTGTTTTTGTGTGTTTTTGTGTTGTTTTGGTTGTTTGTTGTTGTTTTTTAATTAATAAAGGTCTGTTCGATTTTTTTTTTTAAGTTTGTCCTACTGTCGATGGAAAATAAACTGGAAGTTCTAATTCTTGAGCTGAAATGGGGCTTCTGTCTGTTTACCCGACACAGACCTTAATAAATTATGACCACACTGTATCGAATGCGCTTTTAAACTTTGTTTGGAAAAAAAATAGAGAGAAAAAAGAAACGATTGATTTCCCTGATTTGGCTTTATCTCTTCAGAGATGAGCGTAAAATTGACAAACCTGTAGATAGATAGATAGATAGACAGATAGATAGATAGATAGATAGATAGATAGATAGATAGATAGATAGATAGATAGATACACGGAGAGAGAAAGAGAGAGAGGGGGGGGGATTCTTTCCTGGCCATCTGGTTCGTTTTGATAAATAGACAAATAGATACGGTGGGGGCAGAGAGAGGGGGGGAGAGAGACTGAGACACAGACAGAGAGAATAGATGTGTTTTTCTTGTCCATCTGGGTCGTTATCATTAATTTACATTCTGGGACTCAGAATACCCATTTTGTCACTTTGAGGTCAATAAATGTGGCGTCGGCGGCCTAGTGGTTAGACTACCGGACTCGTAATCGTGAGAATGGGTACCCAGCCATAGACAGCGAAAGATCTTGTGTGTATGTTAGTGTTTTAGCTCATATAAATGGATGCTTGCTCTGTATGCTTCCCAGGAAATTGAGGTTGTTTCAGAATGCTCTCAGGTCTGCTGGGGTAATAGTATAGATTGTGAAGCGCATAGAGCTTGCCGTTCACGAACCCGCAGCAGCCCGTGGTTTTTAACACAAGAACAAACCTTGATTTTCATAAATATTTTGCTGAAGTTCAAAATGTTGCTTTCGAAATTGCTTTGTTTCTTTAAATAGCGCATTAACATTTATTGTCCGAAAGAGAAAACTAACTTAGTCAACTTACAATAAGCAGGTGTCCTTGAGAATGAACGACGATAATAATAAAGCCAACAACCGTTAGAAAAGCTGTCATGGACATCGTGAAACGGTGAACCTGTAGGAGTAAACATTTAAACAGTTTTTTAAAGAGGGGGAGGAGGGAGGAGAAATGAAGGAAACGGGGAAGGTGAATTACGGGATAAATTGAGGAGAAGATGGAGCAGGAGATCGGAGGTCATAAATGAGAATAACAACAGAATATTAACAAAGGAGATGGTGGGGTGGAACAGTGGCCTGAAATATTCGGAAAGTGGGAGAGGGAGAGAATGGTGGAGAAAGAGAGAAAACGTGAGCAAGACAAAATGGGTAATGAAAGATAGAGAGATAAAAAGGAGAAAAACAACGGGAATAGGAGAAAACGGGGAAGACGCAATTGTTTTTATTGGGAAAGAGGAATTACGAGGAAACGTTAGGAAAACTTACTGTGGGGATTGGGGGGGGGAGTACAAGTGGAAGGTTTATGAAGGAAAGGGAGTGAGGAATACGGGAAGAAAGTAAGGAGAAGAGGGGTATAAATAATAAGGTGAAATTTTGGAAATTACCCAAACTTATGACGAGACCGTGTAGATGCAGACACAAGGTGCTTGATTGGGGAGTTTGAGGCCGCTCCCCCTGAGGCGAGGGGATACAATATTGTGTGTAAATTGTTCCCTCTCGACTCGGGTTCGAGGATCCTGTGTCGGAATCTCCGCAACTTCATGTTTAAATAAGCATTAAGTCTATAACCCAATTGTGAACTTGCTACCTGCAAACCCCTTACGAAATCCCAAAAATAATATCTGCCACTGTACTTGCTACCTACTAAGGTCCTCTCTTCACTTGTCTTGGCCCGCTAAAATAGGCTAATACTAACAAGGTCACCATAGCAGAGACTGTGCCCACCATTTCGGAACTTCACGGTGACTTTAAAGATGGTTCCAGTAGGGAACGGGATAGCGGGTACCCACATCCCTCGTGACTCATAAGAGCAGAGGAAGATAGGACTAACGAAATATTTTTTTTTTTTAAACAACAACAACCGAATAACAGAAGCATGTCTTCCTAATAATTATAAACATAAGCACCATCCCACATCTTCACTTATCACCACCATCACCGTCATTTCTAAAGTCATCATTGCTCTCAGATCCTTCACAAACATCTATAATTATCTTAAACATCTATATGTAACAGTTATATACCATAACAATTTTGTACTTTATACATTATTGGGCACTCTCATGCGCACATAATTTTTCTACTAATCAGATGGCGTCAATATCATAGAAATGGGCAAGGGACCCCCCAAAAAATAGGGTAAGGTTAATGAAAAGAAGGAGGACGACGACGACAAAAGAGGGCGAGGGGATTGGATAGAGATGAAGAAAGACACGGATGAAAGGAATGAGGGAGGAAGATTTAGGGAACAGAGATTAAGACAATGGGAGTCTGTAAGACGTGAATTAGAAAGAGAAAAAAGGCATGTACGGGTTGGGGTTTTCATACTTACTCAAAAACTATGCAAAAGCTTACTCACTTTTGTCTGTTGGTAGTTTTAAGAAGGATAATTTTGTTTGGGAGCTAGCCTGCAGGAGTGTCGTACAAAGTTACAAATACACTGACAAATTTTAATAAATGAGCTAGAACTGTTTTAAGGCGGTTGGATGAAAGTGGAAAAACTGTAAGGTTATTTATTCAAGGACAGGCAATTATATCAGAGAAAAATCAGTTTGTTCAAAAGAGCGAATCACATCACTGAACTCAACTAATATAACTTTTGGGAGCTGGTGTGTGTGTGTGTGTGTGTGTGTGTGTGTGTGTGTGTGTGTGTGTGTGTGTGTGTGTGTGTGTGTGTGTGTGTGTGTGTGTGTGTGTGTGTGTGTGTGTGTGTGTGTGTGTGTGTGCTCTCATATTGTACCCTGCTATGGAGAATTTGGCGCAGACAACCAAGTTTACATCAATTTTTAAGAAAGAACGAAAGAGCATTACCCCTGATTCCATGCCATTTTTCATAATTTTGTGGGTTGAAATATAAACGGATTTGGGGGAGGTGGGTGGATACTCTTGGGTTTGTTTGGGGTTTTTTGTAAGAGTTTTAAGGCACTTGCAATACAATACGGTGCTGAAGATTAGAGGTGTTACAAGAGAGTAACAAACACAGAAAACAAGTAGGAGAAATCAGAACGATAGATATTTGATAGGAAAGAAGGAGCACGCCACACCAGAGCACCCGCCAACCACCCACGTGGATAGTCTGAACGTAATTTCACCATAACTATACACTATAATATTATACCTGAAACCAGGCGTCCTTCCCACCCGGCTTGACACCAGCCAATAGGGAGCGACCCCGGCGGGCAACGAATGTACCACTGTTGGCGAAGATGATCCAGGCTACTATCATGATGCTTCCTGAAAGATGGGGAAAAAGGAAAAAAAGGGGCGGGGGGGGGGGGGAGTTGAAGTGTTTTAGTGTATACGCTCACCAAACGTTGTCTTTATTTTTGCAGGATCTGCATCACGTCAGCGACCATACTGAGGATAAAAAGTAAAGTTGTTCCCGCATCTGATCCGGACATTAAGGATTGCCTTGTTTGTGAGACAACTTCCTGGGCCTTCAGCATAATGTGGTAGGGTGGCCAGTTCCTTTCCACCCCGCCTTCACTTCCCCAATTCAAAGTCAGGTACCCATTACTGCTGGGTGGGCAGGAGAGGACGAAAAAAAATCTGTGTCCGAACCGAGGCTCGAACCCGGACTTTCCACTTCAGAGACGAGCACACTAATCACTCCACCACCATGCTGGGGGTTCGAAACACAAATACCAGCATTCTCGAGTGACTGGTCCCGAGGTGAACTCTGCTGATATCATGCTGGGCTACGAAGAGGATAACACGGGTTCGAATCATTAATGAGACATTTTTACACTTGGTTGTTTAAGGAAAAGGGAAGGAGGGATTTCAAGGCTACCGACCTATTTGTCTCGGTCCTATCGGAAAGAGGCCCAACTTCTTATAAAATCATACTACAGCATTGCAAGGAAATTCAAATCCATACAGTTTCAAAAACCGTGAGAGATTTTAGAGGAGAGAGTGTGGATTTCTCTAAGTGGCTCCATCTTTAGTTGACGCCTCTTCGAGACCAGTTCCCTGACGTAAATTTGTTTCCAAACTTAGCTTTACATGGTCGGTTATTTCCCAAGTAATTTGAACAGATTCGATGTCCCCTAATTTTCAACCGGCACCGATGAATGCCTGTTTAAGTTGTTGGACTTTCGTCCAGTAGCTTTTAGCATGTCTCCACGCTAAAACTTGGAATAATGTAAAACACGAGTAAAATGTACTCACCGTGAGCTTTGACGAGGATGTTGTAATATGAATAAGTTCCTTTTGTAACTTCATTGACACTCAAAAAACTGATCTTCTTACTAGATACATGTGGCAATTCGATATAAGAGTGGGGAAACTTGTTACCTGGTAGAACGAAAGAAAAAGAACGATAAAATCCACTTTATGAATAAAAATGTGTTTTTATAAATACTGATTTTTAATTAATTTGGCCTCCAGCATTTGTATTTGTACATAACATTGTTTCGTATTTGTCCTTCATTCTAAGGAGATGGATAGATCGATAGCATTATTCTTATTTACGTACTCTGTCGACAACAATAGTAGAAATAATGGGAGGGTTTGGGGGAATAGGTGGTGATAATAAAGGAGGTAATGATGATGATAATGAAGATGACATCACGTTCCTGGTGAAGTCTAAAGGGGCCAAAAGTTGAACATATTACATTTTGATGTCTTATCATTTCAGAAATACTCAAGTCTTCATCTACATTTTGCTTTTATTATCGTACTTACAACAATGATGATAATGAAGATGTTTATGGGATGGAAAAGGAGAACTGGAACTTTTTTCGAGAGCTTACACTTAAAGGTTAAAATATTGCAAGACTTCCTGAATTTTTTATTTACTCTACTATACAATAAAAATGATGATGATGAGGATGATGATGATGATGATGATGATGATGATGATGATGATGATGATGATGATGATGATGATGATGATGATGATGATCATGATGATGATGATCATGATGATCATGATGATCATGATGATCATGATGATCATGATGATGATGATGATGATGATGATGATGATGATGATGATGATGATGATGATTTACTCACCCCCTGCCAGTGCCTCGCCAAAAGCAACGAAGAGATAGTAAGGCGTATGTAAATCAAACACACGTGCCTCCCTTGGGTATTTATTTTGCCTCTGAAAGCTACAAGTCAAGATGTCGTCTACAACAGAACCCTTCATCTCCGACAAAGCAGCCGTTTTCTTTTTTCGAGTTTCGAAAAAAAGACCCCAAAAAAATCGGGGCCGGGGAAGAGATGAAAATGACAGAATCATCATTTCAGAATTGTGTTTAAGAATTGCAGATGAAAAAAAAACATTCCTTAAGAAATAAATACCTGCAATTAATAACTCTGTTTTCAATCTAAACTTGTGCTGTTCTTCTCGATCTAAGATAATAGTAGCCTAGATTAAAGAACTAATCAATTTCGTGGACATTTTTAGCTTTAAACTTTTGAAATAGATAAAGCTTGCGTGGCTGTAACTTACGTATAAATTACGAGCAATTTCATTTAATCATTCTACTTTTCCTCATTGACCCATAATGCTTTAAAGCAGTTGTTATGTTTGTAAATGTTTCCACTTCTACTAACATAATTTAATTCATTTAGGAGGCTTGCTGCTTCGAACCAGCCTGTCAGGGTCAACAAGAGCAAAAATTTTTAACAAACCTCCATAGAAGACAGAAACATTCAATAAAATAGACTACCACATGGAAATCGAACTCACGCCTTTTCATGCAACAGTATAAAGCCAAACAATCACGCCACAGACACCAGTGCTTTAAAAACAAACGATGCGCAAAATGATACAAAGTCCAACAACAAAAGGAACACTCACATCATCTGGGTATTCGTTGATTTTATCTCTGTTGTAAGAAGTACGAATGAACACCCTGTCCCCATCCGACACACATTCCAATACATTGTCATCACCCTGTGACAGAATGAGTTAAGGTGTTTTAAACTATTCATGTTCTAAAGGGAGACAGATTGAACATGTTTGTTTGTTGTTTTGGTAAGTGTATTACGGCCCTCTCAACTGCATAAGGTCATATGGGCGCGCAGGGACCATTGAACATTTTCAGTTTGGCAGGAATTAATTTTGAACTTTGACCAGGGGGCGGTGAAGCCTACTCTTATATATAATCGATTTTGGACCACCAAGGGATCTTTAACGTGCGCAACTTGCACGGGACCTCCAAGATTTTTCGCCCTTATCCAAGAAGTCTAGGTGTTAGATCTTACTTAACCTAAGATTAGGGGTGTGGCTGAAAGACAGCACAGAGAAGGTGGTACTGAGGCGAATTACATTTTATCTTTTATAATTCCTAGCAAAATAAAGCAGTTTTTTTTTTTTAATTCTCTTGAAAACCTCGTATTTTGACATACGCCAATGATAAACGACGACACCAATAAACATGGTTCTGTATGTCTGTGTGCATGTGTGTGTGTATA